TGCCGTGGTGCTTTGATATGTTGGGATTAGGAAACCACAGTTGATTCCCAATGAGGGAAAAGACTGTATAAATGGGACTGAAGTTAGATGCATGATTTGCTTTAAAGGCAGTAAATGAGGCAGAGAGGAGCAGGTATGATAAATCTGTGTCATTGACTGTCCGTCTCACATCACTGCCCTATGAAGGAGGCTGCACAGACACAGATGAAGAGTGAAAGTAAAGGTACGTCGACGAAATGTGCTGCATAGAAACAAAATACATGAATAGTGCCATGTATTTGTTATATGTATATCATAAAATAGACGCTATCAGTCCTAACAGCTTTGTACAGGTCTGCTGTAACTCTTCCCTCTAATTATAATAAAAAAAATGCTTTTTCTCTAATTTGTTAACTGCCTGTGTGCACACTGAGCCTAACACATTTGTATTGTTTGTTTTGTATGTGGATTACATAGAGGAAAAAAACCCTTCACACAGAGCATACGCTGACTCATATACCGTGATAACAAAATAAAAGGCCACGTATCGTAATGTAATGTAATCCAATATAAATCCAGTCTGCCTCCATGGACAGGCTTTAAAACATTATTGTGACCAATTGTATTACGCTGCATTATAATGTTAAGTGTTTGTGTTATATTGTCTGTCCTGCGGCAGTGTGTATGCATTCACATTGCTTATGATTAATACCTACCTGAAATTTTCTGAAATGTAAGAACAAAGCCATCAAAGTTATTATAGCCATCAGAGGTGAAGAGAATGTGTAGGAAGTTCCCTGAGCTTTTTATTGGAGGAGGTAACTGATCCCCACAAAACCGACCAATCACAGGAGAAGTCAGGCTGTCACCATCACGGACCTCGACGTAATCGTAACGACAGCTGTGGTCAGACTCCAAACTCAGCAGTGAAAATCTGCAGCAAAACAATACAGAAATGATGTTTGTCACCTGATGTGAGTTAATCCCCATGCCAAGTCTGATGTATAGCATGTTAACAGGACAGATATAAAGCGGGATGAATGAGTTATACTAGTTAACGGCAATCCAAAGTATAGATTTGAAAGAAATTTCTATATCTTATGTTAATGTTCTACTATGTATTTTTACTGAAAAGTACATTATTTTCCCAAACAAACAAAATGATACCATTTGTTTTGTAACTGTTACCCTGCTTTGAACCCAAGAATGTCCTCACTCTAAAGTACGCTCATCTCCAGCTCTTTTATTATTCCAACACAGTCAATTGCAACCGCCAGATTGCTTGACTCTCTCCTGTATCATCTGCAGCTCAGCAGTTCTTTATTACCTGAGGTCACATTGATCCCTTCTGAGCCTTTCAAATAGAGACTTAACTAAATCTTTTCTCTTTGATCAAATCATGTGCCTTCAGTGTTGAATGATTTTCATATCAGATCTTTGGAAAAGTTACCTACCTGAGCTGGATACTGCTTCCCCTCTCCATTTGCACTATCCATTCACATCGAGCATTTGTTGGGTAACTCTCCAGGGCTATGTGACCCTGAGCTCGCTGAATGATGCCTCCACATGCTACCAACAAGAGAACTATAATTACTTATACTTATACCCATTAAATGTGTACTTATCTCAGTGGCACTGAGCATTTTGACTGTTGCAAGCTAAGCCCCATAATTTGACATGCTGTGTAAGAGGGCAGATAATACCAAAAAAAAAGGAAAAAGAAATATAAATATATGTGCGTGTGTGTGTGTGTGTGCGGGGGGGATTCGGATGGTTCTGATTATCATCATCATGCTGCTATTAATGCTGTTAAGAAAAAGAAAGACGAGATACTAAAGCCATGTTGAATTGATGTTGACCAGTCTTCGCTAAGGGAATGGGGTTGTTTAGAATTTTAAAAAAATATCCCAGAATAAGATCATTCAGTCTATTCAAGGAGTTGGTCAGACTGTGTAGAACATTCTGTAAAAAGCCTGTGTAAGAGAGAGATTGCCCAATGTCCAAATGCCTTCTTTTGTGTAACTCAGAATGTTAGAACATGACAGAATAACACCTGAGTGGCAATTTCCCCAACGCCATTAAATGTAGAGAATGGAAAAAGTACCATGTGAGAGAATAGGAGTGGCAACTAAGTAAACTTTTTTACTTTGCACTAATATCAGCTTCATGTTGCACTGAGTCTCACACTACAGTTGGTCTAAATTATTACGTGGTGGTTGTTGTTGTATCTGTATCTGTAGTTGTGTATATATATATATTTTTTAAAGTAGTATTCATCCATCTTTTTATTCTTTTTGTGAACTTGAGCTCTAAGTAGACACTAGGCTGCATACTGCATACTGCATACAAACCAATAAAAAGCACTGTCGCCACCAAATGTCCATAATGTGTATTGCAACGAAGGTTGTGTCATTTTGAAAATTCTTAACCATAGATCTGATTATTAAACAGCTTTTCCCGTATATCCTTTGCTGCATACATGAACTGTACATACTTTGGAGATGCTAAAGATATTTATTTTACATTAAATGGTGGTGATGTTTCCTCTTGATGTTTTCTTCCCTTTACACAACACTGAGCCACAGGATGTCATAGGGTACCAGCATCTCAGACAAAAACAAAGGTTCTTATGTTCCTTGGAGACATGTATTAAGTAATTTAATTAATTTAATAAAGTAGTTTACTAAAAGGACAAGGTCTCAAGTTTATTAGCCCTGCGACAGACTGGCGACCTGTCCAGGGTGTACCCCGCCTCTCGTCCTATGACAACTTGGATAGACTGCAGCACCCTAACGCCTCCTCACCACAACCCTGATACGGATAAGCGGATAAGAATGGATGCATGGATGGATGGATGGACGCCTGTTATTCAGTCATAAGTCACTTTTACATTTTTTGTTTTACTTGCCTTTCAGCAGAATTGTTGCATTTGTGGCAACGAGCACTGTCAGCATCAACTCTAATGAATTGTAACTAAGGCCAGGGTCTGTCAGTGTGTGTGTGTGTGTGTGTGTGTGTGTGTGTGTGTGTGTGTGTGTGTGTGTGTGTGTGTGTG